CAGTGGAGAAACAGCACAAAAGCCAAGAGAGGAAAGTGAAGCCTAGAGGGGAAAGTAAAAGGTAGAAAGGCAGAGATAGAGACCTAGAGGCTGAAACCACAGTCACAGGCTCAGCACATGCCCCGCCCTCTCCCTCTTCCCAGGGAGGGGCCCAAACCAAAGAATTAGCCCTTCCTTTTGGTTCCCTTTGTCCCCTAGTCCCTCAGGTGAGGACTCTACTCTCTTGCTCCACCCTAGAGAACCCCCCCACCAAAGTGGCAGCTCGGCTCCGATCCCAGCACAGGAAAGAGAAGGGGAAGTGGGATAATGGGGGGGGGGGTAGTGGTAAGACTCAGAGTCACGTGTCCATAGCCCCTCCCCCGCCTGATCCCGAAAAACCAGCCCAGCCAGTCATCCTGACCTCACCCAGCCTGAACCCAGAAATCCAGGACCTTGGGCCCCAAATCCAACATCTGGCCTTGCCTCAGGCCACAAACCCTGCTCCAGGGAATCACTATTAGTCCCTTGGGAAGCAGGTAGCTACCCCCTACCCAGTCGGAGGTGCATCCCTCTGGGTCTCTGAACCTTAACTTCCGGCTCGCCACCCAACACCCAGCTCTGTAGGGAGGGGTTACGAAATCTGAGGGTTCTCTCCCCAATCCCAGAGTCATTGGAGCTGGTTACTGTGGAAACAAACCCCTCCCCTCCAAACAAAAAATAAAAGAGAGAGACAGGGACTAAGACACGCCTGCGGAGAAAGGCAGGTAATACACTCAGGCCTCGGCAGAGACCCGCTGGACACAGGCAAGCTGATACTCTAGGCAGTAACAGGGCAGGTTCCTGCGGGCAGGTCCTGAGTCACACTAACACAGAAAAAGACAGAGACGCTGGAACTCCCCGAAGCCGGGAATCTGGCAGAAATCCATCAAGAGGCGCAGAAGTTAAGGCAGGGAGAAGCAAATGCAGACTTGGAGACAAAAGTGGAGAAGGTCTCCGAAATATCTTCACTCCCTACCTCCCACCAACTTTCTCACCTCTTCTTCCTCCTCCTCCTCCTGTTCCTCCTGTCCCCCGCCCATGCCTTGGGCTCCAGGACCCCCATCCTCTTCGGGATCCCGGCTCCGGAAGCTGCTCAGTACGACTCCCCCGGGGGGACTCGCGTCCAAGAGCAGCCGCAGGGGCCGCGGGAGCATGGCCGAGTGAAGGGATCAGCGGGGTCAGGCCATGGGGCGCCTGGGGAGAGACCCGGCACGGTGGAGAACCAGAGGGGCTCGAGGGAGGCCAGGCCGGGGAGAGACGCGTGGATGTCTAGGTAACTGGACCGGAGTCCTAGAAGGAGGTGGTGGTGGGAACAACACGGAAGGAATGTGGGGGCCCTGGTGAATTTTGGGGATGAGGGGGTCACAACTACGGGGTCGAACGTGGTCAAAGGGTGCTCTGGTTCTGACCTGCTCGGGAGGGGCGGGGGCAGCGCGGGTCCCAGGCCTGTTGCTGTTCCCGTCGGTCTCCGGCCCCAGACCGACTCCTCTCCCCGGCTTTTCCGCACCCCCTTGACACCCCCCTCCGCCGGGCTCCCAAGCCCTCCCGCCCTTTCCGCTCCCCCCCGCGTCCGCCCGCTCCGAGAGCAGGAGCCAAAAGGGGAAGGAAGTGAGAACAGGAGCCAAGGCTGCGGACTAGGGGAGCGCCAGGCATCAAGGGCTGGGACCCAAGAGTGCGGGCCCTCAGCTCTGCTGGCCTCTGGCCCCCTACTCCTGGATTTTAGTGTACACGTCAACTTGCTCGGAGGTTGGGATAGGTTCGAGACTCCAGACCTTCGAGGGAGGGCGGGAATAGAATTTTGACAGTTCCCACCTCGAGCAATAAAGCAAAAAATTCCCGCGAGAAGCCTTTTAGGTGGGGAGGGACCCCGTTACTCCGCCCCCACAGTCTTACACTCTCCACTCCCACCCACTCGAGTAGCAGGACGAAATCCACTCCGGGTTTTTCGAGGAGCCCTAGGTTCCCACCTCCCCTCGAAGGGGGCGGGGCAGGAAGCTGCCACATCCGGTTCCAGATTCGGCGTTCTGGGGTTTCCGGCACTGGAAGCCGGGATCTCCGCTTCCTGTCGTTACCCGAGGAGAGCTGAGGGTTTGAGGGCATCCTGGGTGCGTTGGCTTCCGACCCCTAATTGTTTTGAAGGGACTGGGGATCAGGTTTTGCTGATGCTTTGAGAGTCGGAGTTTCTGGAATGAGCCAGAGGTGTTTGGAGAGTATTGTGCTTGGAAAAGAGAAACGGGTAAGAATGAGAGGCCCGATTGGAAGCACTGAACACAACTTTATTCTCACACAATTAGAAAGGCTTCCTTCTGTTGGTCTGGCTGACGGTCCGGTCCCTTGGAGGTCTTTAAATGGTTCTAACTGGGCGCACCATCTAGCCGCCGTTTGAAGTGCGCCCTCCAGACCCGTGCTGGGTTCTGCCAGCACGGAGGAATAGATGCAGCAGTGGACAGACAGGCCCCTCCCTGCTCTCTAGGAACCGACAGGCGTTTCACAATGTTTGGCACACAATCACTTAAATACAACCGTGGTAAACCATACAAGAGAGGCACCAGGAGGTCTGCGTAGAGCGACAGAGTCGACCTAGCCTGGAGCCCAGGTAGGGCCAGGATGGCCCAAGTCCAGGGAAGGTATCGAGTGGGAGACATTTGCCTCCCTGGAGGAAAGAAATGGCCATGGGTATAATGAGAATTGAGAGGTGAGCTGAACAGTACCAGGGTGGGCTTGAGAGATAGGCAGGGGTCCCAGGTGACAAGAACATTAGGGTCAGGGCAGCGAGGTTGGGTTTACCCTCTAAACCAGTAATTCCCAAAATGTTATTCCTGTCTCTAGGGATCCTGGAGGCTATGTCAGGTCAAGACTTACTTTCACAGTAAGTTATTTTAGCAAATAACTACAATTTACCCTTTCCACCTATTCTCTTAAGTGTTCTATATAAATTTCCAAAAGCTGACATTTTTGCCTTCAGGACTGTGTATATTTGTGTATCCTTGTTGGGTTGTTGTGGTTTTTTTTCCCCCCTTGGGTTCTCAATTTTTAACAGGTCCTGAGGCCAAAACGTTTGACAGCCAGTGCCCTACAGCTCTCAGAAGGTTAAAGTACGAAGATTTGTGCCTTTAGAAAGCCTTCTAGTCACTTAGTAAAAAGAGTAGGAAAGATATGATGGGGACAGTGGGAGGCGATGGTGGCTTCAGTGGTGGCTTCGGCAGGGTCCTTGTTGGTGAGATTGCCTTCATTGTACTTTCTGGGGGGCAGAAGTAAGATTGAGAAATTCAGCAATGTTGAGGATAGGATGATATGCTCAGGATCAATCCAGAGAAATAGGAACCATCTCAGCCCACAGGGTGAGGGAATAGTAAGGTTAATGTTTTATGTGTATTTTCTACCTGCCAGATAGTTTCTGAGTTCTTCTCACTATTACTAGGCGGGAGCTCTGGTGGCTTAGTCCATATGGAGTTGCACTGCCAACCTATAGGCAACTGGTTTGAATCAACCAGCAGTTCCAAGGGAGAAAGACACAGTCTTCTATGGGATTTACAGCCTCCGAAAACCCACCAGAGGGTCAGCTATGAGTTGGCTCTGACTCAACAACAATGAGAGAGGAAAGAGATCATTACTTGGTGCTTTAAACTCTATTTTGACTCAGCTACCTCAAGTGGCAGTTGAAGTGCTCCAGGGCTGTTTTCTAGGTTGTAAACTTTACAGAAGCAGATTGCTAGGTCTTTTTTTTTTTTAATTTTATTATTTTTGTGTGAGTGTACCGTCAAATCAGATCTGACAGGTACAGGAGGAGATTGTCCCTCCTTCCCCGGCAAAGCATCTGGTGGATTCGAACCGTGCGCCTCTGGGATTGTAGTTGCAGCTCCTTGCCACTAGGCCACCAGAGCTCCCCCAGATTGCTAGGTCTTAACCCACAAAGCCACTGGGTGGGTTCCAAGCACTTCCCTGTCAGCAGCTTAATGCTTAACTATGTTTTAGTGTAAAACAACTATGCATGCTGCCTGACAACAATAGCTGTTGAATAGTGAGCTGATTCTGAAATTATATGGCCAGTAGACAGTTCACAAAAACCTCCTTTCTGGGTTTACCAACCTTGCAGGCAGAGCTCCTTTATTATGCATATATAGCATCAACATCTTAAAAGCAAAGTAGCCCCTAAAACACAAAGTTTATGGGTTGCTGCTTATACCCTTCTATGTCCTATCAGCCTGGACTGGGATCTGGCTTTATCTGGTTCTCTATCCCCTTTTGTAAAAAATATTGTGGATGTCCCCTTTCTTTGTTATATGAATATCCTGGTCTCTGATAAGATCAAGTCAGAGACTGCTACTCATATCAAAAGGTCTCTTATTGAAGAAGCCAGAAAGCCAAATGTGTGGACACTCTCTTTTTTTCTTTATCACCTTGATGTAATTGGAACTTCATACTGTAACTTTATAGAAACCTTTCTGTAAAATGTAACTTTTACGGAATCTGGGTTTAGCTGGCCTGTCAGCTACCTGATTCTCTCACTTCTTTACCTCTCTTTTTCCTTTTCTACAACATGCCAGAATAAACTGCCTTTTCTTGATTTTTAGTGGCTGTTGTTTTAGTGACTTTTTAGTTACATTATTTTAGTTACTGTTTTCCCCGCCTACCACAAGTAGCTTTCTGCTGTGTTGGTTCTTTCTGACTCATAGTGACCCTCTCTGTTAGTTTTTGAGACTGTAAATGGTAACAGGAGAAGACTCTCTTTTTTTCTCTTGGGAGCTGCTTGTGGATTCACACAGCCTTTGGGTTAACAGCACAACTTGCTACGGCTATAGACAGGTCCCCTCTGTGGCTTGCATTGTATTTCTATTAGCTGACACTACTTAAACAACTTTTGTTACTCTGGTGTTACAACTGTCAGAGAAGCGGAGGTGTAGGTTAAGTAGCTTGTTCAAGAGAGCCTACAGTTTTAAGGATCTAAGTGAGTAAATTCTAAGCTCAGCTACTGTTGCCCATCATACTAGCAGGCGTCCTCCATGGGTGAGGAGGATAAGGCATAATAAAAGAAGGGAAAGATAAAAGGAGGTGGGACATTGTTACCTTTTCTTTTGAATCCTTTGAAGTGGTGGACAGGTAGGCAGCTGTAAAGAGATTAAAATGAGATGGGATGGTGGAGGGGATACAGGGATGAATGTTAGGCTTCTCAGAGTAGGCAGGAATATTTGAGTAGAGGGCATGGTAGATGGAGTTCACACTCACCAACCCAGCTCACAGTCTTGATGAGGCCAAGGAGGAGAAAGGCTGAGAGGAAGAGCCCCACGCTGTCCTCTAGGGAGGGCCCAGAGAGGCCTGGCAGGCAAGAGAGGGGAAGAGTGAGCACCCTGCAGCCTTCAGCAACAGCCACAGCCACAGCCACTCTGCCACACTTCTGGATCTTACCTGCCACTTCCAGGGTCACCTGGGCGCTGCGCCCTGAGGGAGGCAGGCTAGGGTGGCGAATGCGACAGACATAACGCATCCCATGCTGCTCAGCAGAGACAGGAGGAGGCCGTAGGTGCCCAGAGAGACTGACAGAGCCATCAGAATGGTGGCGCAGGCTGGAGAGCCACCTTTGCCCTTCAGCCTTCCGAAAACCACCTTCCAGGCCACCTCGAAGCTCCCATTCCACCTCCAGGCTATCCGAGGGGTAGAAATGGGACACAAGACAGAGCAGTTCTGGGGGTGCTTCCCCTGGGGCAGCCCATACTAGGGGTGCTGGTGTCAGGGACACTTTAGGAGGCTCTGAGGAAAGAGAAAGAAATGGGCAGAGGGGAATCAGTCTACACTCGCCTTCCATAGAAGCTCTCAGCTTACCTTCTGGACTCTGCAGAACTGAAGGAGTTTGAGTTTCTTCTCCTAGGATGGGGAACCTACTGTATCCCCATTGGTGAGCTTCACATGAAGTACCATGTGAAAGCCCTCAGATTCACAACGATTCTTCACTTCCACTGCCTCATGACCCCCATGTACTGCCATCTATCTCCCCTCACCCAGGCACCTTGTGCTGTCGTCCTCCCCCTCTCATGGCAACCTCCAATCCCAGAAAACCCCTGCACCCTACTCACTGTACAGAGAGAGCTCCAGAGTGACCTGTCCTTGCAGGTATGGCAGGTGGATGGTGGCCAGATAGGTGCCCTCTTGGAAGGGTTGCACTGCAGGTAGCTGGAGGGTCCCATTCCCAGTCCATGGGCCCCACTGCTCATCATCATCCCATGCAGCAAATGTCACTGCTCCCTCTTTGGCTTCTGGCATTTGTCCTGTCAGCCCAGGGGTTGCAGCCAGTATCAGGTGTCCCTTACCCTGGTGCTGGCGTCGCCACTCCAGCCCAAAGGGAGGGGGACCCAGGGCCAGAGATTTAGCAGTCTCAGGGTTAGGGGGCATGTAGGCAAAGCTCAAGTCCAGCAGAGCATCATGGCCCAGTCGAATTCGAGGAGCAGGGGTCTGGGTGAGGACAGTCAGCACCACTGGGAATGATTGAAGCCAGAGTGGGCAGGGCATGTAGAAGGGAAACAAAAAATACAGGGAGATGGAGTTACAGGAAGGACTCAGCTCCAATTTACCCACCCTTCAGAAAGCATCTTTTCTGACTCTCATGCTCTTCATTTTCAAACCATCCCTAGAAAGTCCTCTTTTTGCTGGACCAGTGCCATTTTGCTGAGTGAACAAAGAGGTCTAGAAGTGAATAGGGGCACTTAGTAGGTATGGCCTTTTAAGTTTGGAACACAGCCCACTTGAGCCCTGGGGTCAGTGGGATTTGTGGGTCCTTCTGACCAATTCAATCTCTAGATGTCATATGGAAGCTCTAAGCTTTACTCAGTTGCTGGTGAAGATGGTAGCGATCTATGATCATCAGTCCATTGGTGCTATACTCGATGCTATATTTAACAGCTCTGGAAGGTTCCAGCTCTAGCCTAGATGAGAATATAAGATCTCTGTGCTTTATTGAGGCAGTGCAGGGCAGTGGTTAAGTGTCAAGTTCATTTACTTGGTCAAGTTACTTCACCTTTCCATGACTCAGCTTTCTCATCTCTAAACTAGGAATGATCATGATAATAATAGTATCTACTTGATGCTGTCATCAGGTTTGGTTGACAATTGAATCATTTCATACCTCTTGCCATCTAAATCTAGGAGCCCTGGTGGTGCTGTAGGCTAAGTGAACCCACCAGCTGCTCATTATGAGAAAGATTAGACAATCTACTACCATTAAGATTTACAGAAATTCCTCTGATTCAGAAACCCTCTGGGGGAGTTCTCTGTATTATAGGGTCACCATGAGGATGGCACAGGATATTACAGGGTTCAGATCTGTTGTTTAAAAGGTCACTATGAGCCATACTCAGTGGCACTAAACAACAACATGAGTGGGATGATTCTCAGTGCAAGTGGGTTTTTTCTTTTTTTAATCCAAATCTATTCAGTTCTGATTTTGCATAACAAGGACTCCTAGATAAGAAGAGTATAAGACCTTTAAACAGTGCCTGCTACTGAGTAAGTCTGCAAAGGTCTTTCTATGATTATACCTAACTGCCAAAACTAAGCATGCCCCCAGCTCAACAAAACCTGCAACATTTTCCTACCTTGCTTCAAGACTGCTGCCTTGCCTTGCCCTGTGGAACAGTCACCCAGGTGCAAGGCAATAATTTGTGATCACTTAAATTCTTTCCTCTAATTCATTAATGCAACAGTTGTTTACTGAGTGCCTAGAATGTTCAAGATGTGGTGTTAGAGGATAGTGTGGACAAGTCCCTGCCCTTAAACTGTTAATAGTCAACAAACCCCTGCTAAGTGTGCTATGTTTCAGATTCTTATGAACGTATATTTGGACAATCACAGTAGCTTCATCTCTGGTTTTACTATTATCCGTTTCTCTCCTTCTCAATATGTCCTCTACACTGAGGGCAGTTACTCAAACTCACTCCTTGCTGTCAAGTTTGAACTGACACATAGGTTCCAGAATGCTTTCAAAGAGGAGGAGAGTGCCCATTTTTCTCCCACAGAGTTGCTGGTGGATTTGACATACCAGAGGGGTACCCTCTTTGGCTTAGCAGCACAACTCCCTATAGACTGTGCCACCAGAGCTTGACCCAGTCTGTTTAAAAATCTATTCTCTGGAAAGTAGCAGCTAAAGGCATAGGCTGAGCTAGACTGTCTAGGTTCAGCTCCTGGCCGTGCTCCTTACAAACTTTGTGACCTTGGGCAAGTCACTTAACTGGTTTATACCTCAGTTTTCATCATCTCTAAAAGGGGGATTATACCAGAAAAAACAAACCCATTACCATTTGAGTCAATTTTGACTTAGCAACCTTATATACAGGACAGAGTAGAAATGCCCTGTAGGGTTCCTAAACTGAAAACATTTTTTTTTTATAGTTTATGATTTGAGTGAAAGTTTACAAAGCATATTAGTTTTCTACTTAATGATTTGCACACATTTTGTTTCATGACATTGACTGCAATTCCAACAGTAAAAATCACTCTTTACTTCCTTCCCAGTCTTCTGAGCTTTTCTCTGAGCAAAAGCTGGCTGCTCTACTGAACTCCTAAGCTTGACTGTTCTAAGGTATACTGACCTCCCTGGCTGGTATTGGTCACCTTCCTCTCGGCTAGTGCATTGTAGCTTTGGTAATGTGTCCATAGTGAGTCGACTGCTAACCCAAAGGCCACTCCTCTGCAGCAGTTTGAATCTACCAGCAGTTCCAAGGAAGAAAGTGGGCAAAATCCTCTCGTGTAATTTACAGCTTTGCAAACTTAATGATGGGTCAGCTATGAGTCTGTTCCTAATTGACAAGAATGAGTTTGAATTTTTAATATTGTTTGGTTGGAAATTGAGCCATGGGGTGAGTTCTGATCTAAGCCATGAGCTGTAAAATTTTTATAATAGCAAATTGCCATATCTTTCTTCCACTGAGCAACTGGTCTGTTTAAACTGCTGACCTTTCATTAGCAGCCAAGAGTGTAACCACCTCACCACCAGAGAACCTTAAAATGGGAATAATAGTAGTACTTCCTTTTTATGGTAGAATCCTTGGGTAATGCAAATAGTTAACATGCTCAGCTGCTAACAACAGAAAGGTTCGAAGTTTGAGTCCATCAGGGTGCCTTTGAAATAAAGTTTGGTTATGTGTCTACTTGTGAAAAGTCAGACATTGAAAATTCAGTGGAATACAGGTAGGTCTACTTTGATACATATGGAGGAGACGTGTCATGACGTGTACATGAGTAGAAGCTGACAAAAGGGCAAGTGGGTTTTGTAATTCCCTGTTTGAGAGGGTTAAGTGAGATGATGTATGTAAACTGTTGAGAACAGAGTTTGACATATAGAGGATATTCAATCACTACCACCATCATTATGGCCTTACCAGTATCTTGGTAAATAAATCTTTATTTTTCATTATTAGTCCAATTAACTGATCCTTGCTTACCTTTTAGAAAATAAGATAACAGGCTTTTTTAAAAAAAGAAAAATGACACACAGAATCTTATAGTTCACCATAATAATATGATAAAGACATGTTTTCAAGCTACGGTACTTAATAATTCAGCTTCTGCTCATCTTTCCCAAGTCTTCTGGCACTCTAAGAACCAGCTACACAGAATCTTTTTTTCTTGGTCCTATTAGAAACTCTAAAACTGGGCCTCTCTCTGCGCTGGTCATGAGGCTCTTTCATTTTTTTTTTTTTTTTTAAATTTAGGTTGTTTATTTTTCATTTCAATGAACATCTACAGAGATTTTGGGATTCCATTCATTCATTGTTGCACCCTTCTCCCGGCACAAACCCTTCCCCCCCCCCCAGGCTCTTTCATTTTATAACGCCTTTTACCATTTTCTTCCAAGCATCCACACTCTCTGTCTTTCAAGACTAGTTTTACATCTACTTTTGTCTAAAAGTGTCTGAGTCCTTCAAGTAAATGTAGTCTTTGGTTTGGTTTGAGTTATTTTGGGGTTTTTAAGTCTTTTTTATTTTGTGATTATTTCTTTTATTTTAAATCTTAGACCCTTAAATTTTAAATCTTAAATCTACAAGGTTAAGTTTTTCTTCAACCTCATGGGTTGATTTTGTTCACTAAAGTATGTAATTATTACTTAGTTTATAAAAAATCTAGATACTATTTAGGATTATTTTTAAAAAAAATCTACAGTGTTAATAAAATTTTAAAGTATTTCACAGTTCAGCCCTTATGATACAGTAATAGACCTTCCTCCTACAGCTATATCCTTTGAAGATACAAATGTAATACTGTAGGGCCAGAAGAGTAAATAAAAGTTTCACTTTCATTTTTGTAAGCATAGATGTTTTGCTTTTATATCTGCTAAAAAAGCCAGTGGTAACACTAATTATAAAGTATTGCTGGAAACAAATTTTTTTAAACCAAATCTAAGTCTCAAAGCTCAGCTACCTGTTTATAAGAAATATAGAGGAAAGGAGACCAAGGTAACAAGAGGTCAAATATAATATGTGGGAAATTCTACAAGATAAATGACTAGGTTTCTTCTGTTCTGCATCCTGATTTGATCAGAGATTCTGGTTTAACTAGATTTACGTTGTGGAATATTTTTAAAGTTTCCTATTGTTGGAAGGGGCCTCAGCCATAGGGACTCTATGTACAACAGAACAAAACACTCCCCAGTCCTCCACCATCCTTACCCATCACTGGTCTTCCTCTTTTTTTCACTACCCTTCTACTAAAGTTTTTTGGTTAGCAACATGCTGTGTTCTACCACCAGAGTTCCTTCTACTTTACTAAAGATTTTTTTTTTTTTAATTCCCAAAGGATTCTAGTTTGAAAGCAGGACTGAGAACTACTGGGACCTAACTTATTTTTGGTGCTAATAAATATTTCTTGAGTCGATGAATAAATTAGCACAGTACCTCCACAGGTAGTCACAATAACAGAAAATCTGATGGAAAGTAGTAACCACATTTTACACTTGAATAAACAAAGAAAGGTACATTCTCGGGCCACTTCAGTAAAGCCCCAGCACTAGGACTTTACATAAAAAATACTTCCTCCCACTAGTGAAAACTGTTAGCTCCACAAGACTTAGCTATGCTCTGCTCCTGTTCAGGATGGGGCCTAGAGTGGAATTACAGGCAGAGGTGAGTTCTTTTCTCTAAGTCTACAGGCAGTTCTCTCTCAGGATACTAATAAAGAGTACTGGGGAAGAGAGGTTAAAAAAAAAAATTAACACGACTTAGGGGAGCCAAAAAGATCTCCATAATTCTTTTCAAGGAGGTAAGTCTGACCCTTTAGAGATACAATTTTCTAATAAATCTATCTTTACTATTTTACCCTTAAAAACAAAACACCTATACTACCATTTGCCAGGAATAGAGCGGGCTCCTGGTTACTTGTCTATCAGGATCAGATGGCCATACTAATACTATCCGCCCATCTCTTCTTGTCCCAGCCTAGCAAACTTTCTAACCTGTGGGCCTCAAATTACTTTTGTTGCACAAAACAGTTCTTGCTTTGAGAACCATCTGGAAAACATCACTTGGTGCATACTCTAAGCACGTCGGAGAAGGGAGTAGGAGAGGAAAGGTAAATGTGTTTAAAAGTCTTTGCTTTGTTGACTGCCAAAGGCGCCCACTGTGGGCATGGATGCGGCAGAAGGATGGTTTTCAAAACAGAAGGACAAGGGTGGGAATGCCTAGCAAGATGAAGATCTTAAAGGACTGGGGGGAAATTTCCTGCTTCGGAGCCCCTTCCTATCCTACCTTAAGAGTTTCTAGGGAGTTCTGGTGGCCTAGTGGCAAGACGCTGCACTACAATCCCAGAGGAACGTGGTTCAAATCCACCAGATGCTCTGCCGGAGAAGGAGGGGCAATCTCCTCCTGTACCAGTCAGATCTGATTTGACGGTACACGTAAAAATAATACAATAGGGGAGCTCTGGTAGCCTAGTGGCAAGGAACTGCAACTACAATCCCAGAGGCGCACGGACAATCTCCTCCTGTACCAGTCAGATCTGATTTGACGGTACACACACACAAAAAAATACAATTAAAAAGTTTCTAAAGAGTTTGGCTGCAGCTTCTCCCAGAGCCCCGCCCACACACTCCTGAATGCTCCGCCTCCAAATTTAAGTCTGGACAGTTTGTTTTTTAAACTGGGTGTGGATTAGAACGGGCGGAGTAGACTGTTTTCATTCTAACCCTATGCTTCCCCTAATGTAGTACAAAAAACAAACGAGTGGGAAAATGACTCCCAAATCCATACAATGAGGTACCAGTAAATGTGGATTCTGGAATCCACCCCCATCACCACCTTCCCCAACAGGTACCTGTTGCCATGGTGATAAGCACAGGCTCCTGCTGTGACTCTGGCTGTGCCTGCAGGAGGACAGAGAGGCTGAGGACCGGGCTAGACATGCTGACCATGTACCAGTTCCCATCCAGGGCCCGTGGACAGCTGTGGTCCGGAGTTAGGCCCCTGGCCCAATTCGCGGAGGCACGGAGCGGGACATAGCGGCTCATCTCGCAATGTGGCATGGGTGCTCCTCGGGGGTACCGCCTGAAGGCAGCCTGGAGTGCTCCCGTGGGGTCTGTGAAGGCGGAGAAGGGGTCACACTTGTAATATAATAACAGCCAGAGCTGGAGGGAAGGGGCGGGATGAACAACGCCTGGGTGCCCGGCACTACTCTGATAGAGGCTGAGGTAATCCAGTCTCATTTTACCGAGAAGCGAACTAAGGATCAAGGCCACTCAGCAACCTGTACGGAGCACGGGTAGAGGAGGCCGCCCTGGAAGCCAGTCCCAGAACTCACCGTGCACATTGAGGTAGAGCTTAGGGTCGAGGTCTGGCCGGGAAGGTGGTCCTCCTGGGCCCTCGCGCAGCAGCAGTGCAGCGGGCTTTTTGACCAGGCTCCCACGACCCAAATCCTCTACAAACCAGCACTCGAGCACTGCGGGGCCTGCCGAAACGGCAGTCACCACGCCTGGGGGAGAAAGTGTAAGTGAAGGGATGTCGGGCGACCCCCTCTCCCCTCCCTTCATCCCTGGGATAACAGTAATGGGGTCTGCTCACCCAAAGCCACGGTGAGGAGTAGGGACAGGAGCTTCATGGCGCTGAGACCTCAGCCTTGAAGCTGTTTCTTCCGCCTTTCACTTTCATTTTCTTCATAGGCCCGAAGGAGGGCAGGGGAATCCCAACTCCGGTTAGGTGAGGGGGGCGGGGTGTGGAAGACTACTGCAGCCTCACTGAACAAGCTGGGAACCAGAAATGTCCTCTCCAGTTCGTGTCCCAGCACGCCAGCCTGTCCACTTGGAAACCACCCCAACCCCAGGCTCTCCTCACCCTATCCCCTACTCCACTTCCCCCCCATCTGTACCAAGTCCCCAGCAAAGACATAGAGGGGTGCTCAGGAAGCCAGGTGAAATGATCAATAAATATTTTAATCACCATTAAAAAAAATAAGATTTAAAATAAAAACCTTGTACTCCTACGATTATTCCTCATCTCCACCTCCTCCCCTCCTGAGGGCCATGTTGGGGAACCCTACAGGAGTAAGAGAAGAATGATGGTAGGATAGAAATCAGGGGTGCATCCTGTGGGGGAGACAGGTTCTAGGACAAGAGTGGGCTCACAAGGGCTGGTCCCCACAACACCACAAACACAGATTTCAGGCACAGACTACAACCACCTGACCCTGTGATTCCAGGGTGCACAATTCTGCTCCATGACCCTTGTGCCCTACTCTCTGTGGAGCTTGGGCATCAGTGTACCCATCTAAGGAGAAAGGGTTAGTTTGGGGATAACTTCTGTCGCTAAAGAGCGTAAATGGGTTGGCAATGGTGCAACTTAGTTATCCCTCCCAAATATATACAAGTCCTTAGAGATAAAGATGGTAAAATGTGGGGGATTACCCCGGAGCCACAGAGCTCTTAGCTTGTATTCCCTATTCCCTTTCCCAAAAAGCTAACCCTAACAACTCTTGTCTCCTCAGTTTGTCCCCCCGCCCCCATTGAAACCCATTTCCACCTTGTGAACACTGGTTGAGGACCAGACTGTTGGGCTGGGTGGGGAAGTGGCCCCACTCGTTTCTTCACCACTACCCCCGCCCACCTTGTGGGACTCTCGCTTGGGCTGTGCTGGAGGCCCAGGGGGAGGCCCAGGCCCGGCCCCGCCTCCTGGCCCGCCCCCTCCCAGGCGGTGCCATCGCTCGCAGTGTCCCCTGTGACGCATGAAGCTATCCCGCCACATGAACTTCTTTGCGCAGACGCTGCATTCATAAGGCTTGAGGCCTGTGTGTGTCTTCATGTGCTCAGTCAGATGGTGCTTCATTTTAAACTTCTTGTTACACACGGGACAGTCAAAGGGCCGCAAGTTGAGGTGCATGTTCACGTGTCGATCCCGCATACTCTTGTGTGAGAAAGCCTTCCCACAGTGACACAGGAAGATCTTATTGCCATCCCCACCACCTGTTCCCCCAGATGCCCCACTAGTGGCTGTTGGTGTGCTCAGGCTTCCTGCGGATGTGCTCCCCAGGGTCACTGCCCCATGCTCTGCCTGGTTCCCTGGTGGCTGGCCTGGAGCCTGGGAAGAGGAGGAGGAGGATGGGAAGACCAGAATTTGGTTGCCTTGCATGTCCAGAGGAAGCAGTGACCGTGGAGGGTGAGAGGGCGTGTAAGAGGAGGGGGTAGGCCCTCCTGAATCATCTAGCGCTGCCCCAGATGACCCACTCTCATATGGGCCAAAGTCATTGGAGGACTCACAGAAGTTAACCTGCTCCTCCCCTTTGTCTGGAGGCTCACTCAGGGTCCGGACATCACTTATGCTGAGAGTAGCCTCAGGTCCTCTTCCTGCTGGGATCCCTGAGTTAACCCCCAGCTCTTCATCTTCATCATCCTCACAGGTCAACACCAGATCTTCTTCCTCCTCCTCCTCCAGATCTGGATCTTGAGGAACCAGTGGTACAGGTGCTGGACAGTTTCCACCTTGCTTCACATATACCCAGTGTTTCTGTGGCATGATGCTGGGGGGTGCATACGTGGGTCGACGGAGTCCAGTCCCGGGAGCTCCTGTCCCCCTGCCATCCCCACCATCATCACACAGTTCATCGGCTTCCAGTAGCAACTTTCCAGAAGTAGCCCCACCACTGCCAACCACAGGGGCAGAGAATATGGGGCCTCCTCCTCGACGCTCCCCACTGCCCACTGCCGAAGCTGCAAATGCTTCTTGGGAGGAAGATGAGAAATCAGTGGATTCCCGGGGGCTGAAGTAGTTGCTGCTGCTAGGAGACTGGTTCTCACTGGCTTGACTGGAAGGATGGGAGCGCACAGAGCCCAGGGGAGCAGTGCCACCACTGCCTGTCAAGCTGCCAGCACTGGGGACAGTGGCTGAGGTGGCTGCTGATGTGGTGATGGTGGTGGTAGCAGAGGTCCGGCCTTCACGGAGGAGCTCAGTGCATTTATCCACAATGTGCCACATTTGTAGCACAGACCCCACGGTGAGGAAGTTGACAATGTCAGCAGCAGCCATACTGAGGCGACCAGTGTAGGCAGAGGCTAGGACAGTCTCAAAGGCGCCTGGATCCATGACACTAGGCAGTGAGATGGAGGTCATACCCTTGAGTAGGACTTGGTCATGGAAATAAGGGGAAGAAGCAGCCAGGACAGCACGATGAGCCCGGAACTCTCGGCCCTGCACTCGGATGGACACGTCGCAGAGCTGGCCTTGTAGCCGCTGCTGATTGAGAGACTCCAGGAGAGCACTGGTAACCTCAGGGAAGGACACATGTACCACTGCAGCAGCTGGCAGTGGGGGCTGGGCCAGCGGCAGGGCAAGGGGGAGTGCTGCCCCACTGGGAGACAAAGATGGCTCCATGGTCTGGAGGGAAGGGGTACCCCCCCCCCAGCCACAGGTACAAAGGAAAGAAGAGAGAGGCCGGGGGGGTATCTAGGGAGAAAGAGAGAAAAATAACAATAACATCTGGTAAACATACACCATTTTTACATGTTTGCACGAATCATTACCCAAGTGACTCCCCACAACACTGAAGTTTTCCTCTCAACCCCATTTAACAGATAAGGACACTGAGGCTGAGAAAGATTTAAGAAATTAACCAAGGTTACACAGCCAGTAAGTGGCAGTGCCACCTGACTCCCAATCCAGTGCTCTTTTCATTGGGAGTTAGAAAACAAAGTGTTCTTAGGTAGTGAGGTGCCCCATCTCAGAATTACACCTATTTTCCATTTGTCTGAGACCTTGACTGTCCAAAAGACACCTTTTTTTGTATTTTGCATCCTTATCTGGGGGGGGAAGCACAGAAATTTTGCTCTAGCACTAAAAAAGCTATTCCTTTTCTTCATCCCCCTTTAGGCCATGCTCTGGCTCCCTCATAGGCCACGCCCCTTTGCCCCCAGTTTCTCCATAGCCCCGCCCCATGTCTACCCCCGCCCACACCGGACCCCGCCCACTTCTGCTCCGCCCCGAGCGCTACAGACGCCTCGTCTCCCACCCGGAAGGCGCCCCCGAACCCCGCGCGCCCCCGCTTACCGGGCCGCGCGCCCCCGGGCCCCCCCCGCCCCTCACTCGGCGGCCAGAGCCGCAGCTTGGGCCCCTCCCGCCGCCATCTTGCGCCGACTCCCTCCGCCCTTCGCCTCCGCTCTACCTCCCGCCCCTGAGACTTTAAAGGTACGGCCAAACACCCCGCCCGTGCCGCTGGGCAATACTCGGCCGACTCCGTTAATTCTCCTTTAAAGAAGCATAGCCTCATTCCATCTTAAAGGTACCAGGTCCCTTCCGCGGCAGAGAGCTCAGGACTTAGTTCGACCGAAGCACTCATTCCCCTTTAATTCTGTAGGCCAGCCTCTTCTTATTAGTGATCGGTCTTGGCTTTCGCTGTCCGGGCCCCGCCCCTAGGCAGTGACCATTGGCAGTTTTGCAGGATCAAATCTCAGCTTCCCTCGCCTCCCAGCTTCTGACAGTTCCCCTTTAAGTTCCGCCCCCTTCCTCTGGGCCCGGATTGGCCAAAAAACCTTCAGCCAGCCCCTGATTGGCCTTTTTGCTCTGGCCGCTAGAAAAAAGTAAAGCGTGTTAGGGAGGTGAAAGCACTTTAGTGCCTGGCCAAGGGCTTGCGGGGAGGCCCAAATACCGAGGAACCTGAAGATAGGAGTGTGAATGCCAGGCTGGGAGGACAGTTCTAGGACCGCCCAAAGCCTGCGCAAGGGCACAACTTGTGCCAATCTGTGAGGGCAAACCACAAGGAAAAGACAGGGATACACTAACAAAGAATTTTATTGTTTATTAATGTCTGTAAAACGTAAGCTTTTCGTGTATTTGAAAGAAAATACCAAAAGAGGTTAAGCTCTGTCCATCCCCTCCAGTTATCTGTTCTCCACTATCCTCCAAGCACTTCGGAGGTAGAGAGGGTGAATGTTGGGGGAACAAATTAATCAGAGTCTGAGAGCACGATGATCTCCTCTGGATCGCACTGTGTGGCCACACTCATCTGCAGGGGAGTAAGGGACAACAAAGGTGCAAGTGTCAGAGAGATCTGGATGGAGTACAGGGAGGAAGAGAAGCAGAGAAAAGGCATTAGAGACAAAAAAATTGAGAGAAAAAACAAAGATTATGGAGAGGACACACTATTTCGAGAAGCTTAAAGTGAAAACACAATGAATGAAAAAAAAAAAAAAGAACTATCAGAAGCAAAATCTCCTTCTCTTACCTTGCAAGTACCAGGTCCGGGGACTTGCGACTGGGGGGAGTGGGGTGGCCTGAGTAGAGAAGGGCTGCAGAGGGAGCTGGTCACTAGGCCATGGCTGGGAGAGTCCACTCTTGTCGAAGAATCAGCAACTGGGGCCACAGATGCCAAGGGTGAAGGTGAGCTGCGGAAGGTACATATCCGCTTTCCATTTTTCTCAGGTACTATACTTTGCCTTTCCACACAGCTAGAGAGAAGCATAAATATGTGGGAGGGGTAAAGTGGGGAAGTGTCAAGACTTCACTCCCAGTGGACTCAGTTTCTCAATGCTCCTCCAAAAGCTCCCAACAAATCCCACCTTGGCTTCCCTCTTCCATGTCGTTACCTATCCAATGGCCCTGATCTTGTATCCTTCTCCTTCCGAGATTTCTTATTGGGAGGGCTGGACTCTCTCCAAGTGTGAGGAGACACACTTCCATTGAAGGAAGTGGAGGTGACCACGGCTGCTCCATTCTCCAGGACAGTGGTGAGGGAGTCCTCTGTTTGCTTCCTGGAAGAGGAAATGTCCTTCTCCTCAGGAGAAGGAGTGGTCTCCACAGGCAATGCTTCAATTTCTAGCTCAAAGAGCTGAGACATAGGACTTTCTTCTTCCAGGGGCAATTCCTCAGGCTGTTCTCCATTGCTTTCAGCATCTGTGCTGGAAAGGGCCAGCGGCTCCTCTGACAGTGAAGGTGTGGATACTTTGAGTCTTTTGGTTTGCTTTTCCTCTGAAGATATGCTTGTTCCTTTGGCAGGCTCCAGGTTTTTCTGTTCAGAGGAAATATGTGGTGGGGACATGGGGCTCTTGCCTCCATCATTGCCTGGGAGAGAAGAAAAAACAAGAGCAAGGATGGCCTGAGAACACGGGGGGAACTTAAAGTGAAAGAACACTACAAGGAGAGAGAAGGGAAAGTCTCAGACTGGTGGCTTTGCTCAACAAACAAAACCAACACATAAGGAGGCCATTTCCCTAACATACCTATTTCCTCCTCTTCTTCATTCCCCCCCTGACATTCCTGTATTTGTTCCAGATCCTCCTCTTCAGAATCTGTATCCTCCTCCTCTTCCTCCTCCTCCTCCTCCTCCTCATCATCATCATCATCATCACTTTCCTCATCTTCTTCATCATCTGTCTCAGCCTTAGAGGTGGCAGGTCCCTCCTGGGATGCCAATCCACTAGGGCCCTGAAATACAAAGAAGTTTCTCTTATGAATATCTTGCCCAAGAGAGTCCAGTCCTTGCATTCCTTCTATATTCTCCACCATCAGTCACGCTGGGCCCCCTGGTGACCCAGGACAGGGAATGAGGGGGTTCCCCCATGGCTACTGAAGAGGATATCCCTCCCATACCTCACCAGAATCTGAACAGGCCTTGGGGGCACTTGCAGAGGGGGAAGAGGTGCCTTGGGATAGCCGGGCTCTTTTCTTCTGCCTCTCGCCTTCCTCACTTTTATCCTGCATCATTGCATATTTGGAGATGACCTCATCTAGCCGGCTCATGGCCAAGCTACGATTTTCTCGCAGACGCCGGGCCAGGGTGGGATCTGACAGTGCAGGGTCAACACCTGTGTGGAAAGATATAAAGTCAAACTATTCAGCACAAATCTTAGAAGGCACTCAAGAGATGCCCCTCTATTACCCACCTGATGGGATGCTAACAACCATTCTCCAAATGCCCTACCTGGCCTATAATCATCTGTGAGGTGGCAGCCAAAGTTGTAGATGAGATCAAGGTGGCGTCGCTCTTGCAGTCTGATGCCCACATCTCGGAAGGCATCCTGAGCCATGAGCTGAAGCTGCTGCCGGGGAAGGCCAAGGCTATGGCGAGCAGCTGCCTTTTCCACAGCCCGAAGCACATCTCCATAGTCAGGGAAGGTGTCAGGCCCTGGCTTGTTGATAAGCCGTTCGATGCGCCTGTTAACCTCTGGGTAGCGGGTTCCACGGTAGGGGATGCGCTGCTCTATGACACGGCCTGTCAGCGAAGAGCAGTCTTTTAACTCACAGAGGCGCCCAAAAAGGCGGATTAGCTTACGCTTCAACCGTGCCTCTTGCAAGTATGTGGAGTCAGGATCATCCAGTTCTGAGAGATCCAACTCCTTCTCCTGCAGTCTCCGTATCTCTGCCACATAGAGGGCTAGCAGCTGCTCCAAGCGCTGGATTTGCCTCCGGGAACCACGAGTCCTTGGGGCCTCAGAAGCAGCTGTCTCAGCATCTGGAGGATCTGAGGAAGGGTCTGTTGGAGGGTTATTTCCAGAGGGTTCACTAGAAGTGGTAGCAGCAGGAGTCAGGTTCAGTTTCTTCTTGGCTGAGTGGGCTTTAAGGACAGTTAAGAGCTCGTTGATGTAGACATAAAGCTTAGCAGGTCGCTTCTCAGCCCGTGACAGGACCCGAGAAAGGATGTTGCAAAACTCCGCTGAGGCCAAAAATGGGGAGTGGGCTCGTTGTTGCCGGTTACAGAGGAATGGGACCACCTCAGGGTGGTCTGCTGTCTTCTTCTTACACAGTTCAAGGAACTGGAAGGTTCAAAGGAGGACAAATGGGGTAAAAAAAGACAAGGGAGAGGGTTGAGAGAAAGAAGGCAAGGTGGGATTAGTGGGTAAGAAAGGACAGGAGAGCCAGTAAGCCATCCCCCTCCCTGGAGTACAAGAAATCTTCTCCCCTAAAGCTCACCTGTTCAAACAGCTTCTCATTCTCCAACTTGTAGCATTTCTTGCCGCCCGAACTACTGCTTCCTCCGGCCCCACTGGGCTCGGAGGAGCCAGGGGTTTCTGCCCTGGGTGAGGCCGGATTGGGGGGTGGGTGGGAGGGCCCTGGCTGAGCAGCTGCTTCATCTTCATCATCATCATCCAGCACGATAATGTTATCGGTGGCCATGGGGGATCAAATCCCCCGGAAGGAGGTAGTAGTGGGGATTTCAGAAATCCTGCTGGAAGGGGATGGGGCCTCAGAATGAGCCCCTCCGGCCTAGCCCCATCCCTTCACCTCACACCTTTGCCAATCGCTCTGGGTGTCAGGAAAACCAGCCCTGCCCAAACTCTGTCCGCTCTGCCTCTCATCAGCAACCATTAGTTCTGAATGCTTTGCAGGCCCCTCACTTGGGAGGGAGAACCCAAACTACCTCCAAACCTCAAGCCCTACTCCAGCCCCACCCCTCAAGTCGATTTCCGGCCTGTTTCCTTTACCCTCTTGTCTTCCCCCTCCCCCCCCCCGTTGTTCATTTTTCCTTCCAACCCCAGGTCAGCTTCCCTCTGCAATGATTTCCTTGACACCCTCTTGAACAGATGTCACACCCCCACTGACACCAATTAATGTGTTTTTCCTTTCAGCTTCAAACATGTTAAAACGGCACCCCCGACACCAGCCTGAAGGACTACCTCAACTTCTAGACTCTCTGTGGGGACAGGTTCCTTCTCAACAGCCTCCTGGCTTTCTTTTCCTTGACCTATCCCCATATTCCACCCTCGGGTACGTCCCTTCAAACTGGAGCTTTAGGTAGGAGACATTTCACCTCGTTTTTGCCTCTCTCTCACCCCACCCTAATTTTCCCCATTTACTCTCTTGTGACCTGTAACCGCTCGTGAACCCCTGACTCGACTCTCCCCATTCCACTTCTGTCTCAATCCTGAGTCCAGCCTCCTTCCCCATGTGCGGTTCCCGCCAAGTCTTCCCCCACCCCCGCCCCTCAGTTCAGTCCCCGGGCTGCTAGTCCCCCTTCAGGAATAGGAGAAACCACAGTCTGCCCGTCAGTCTTAACTCCCAGACTTCCACACTACCTCTCCCTCGATAGCCCCCACCCCGTCTTCCCACCCCGTCCGGCTCCCACCTCACAAACGGTCTCTCGAGGCAACCCTCGCGGCTGATCTCAGAACCTCGCATGGTTCTCTCCGCCTTCCTGCCCCCTCCCACCGCAGTTCCCACTTGATACCGGAAGTAGTAGTGTTTCCGCCTATGTTCACTTAGGCGCGGCCATGTTTCTGTACGGAACCTGGTCCTGCGACCGGAAGTTGCTGTCTCGCGAGCAACTATAGCACCGCGTACCCCGTAATCTGCAGGGGGGCGAAGTTGGTGCCTTCAGGGAGTCCAAGTACTCGGGGGTCGCCATTTTGCCGTACGGCACTGTCTACGCCCGGACTGGTGCGCGCAACCAGTGAAGCTCTTTTCTCCCGGTGCTTCTTGCGCCTTGGCCAATCAGAAACTTCCTGCGCCTTCGCCAATCAGAAACTTCCTGCATTGGGCTCAACCATGCGTTGGGCAGAACTGAGCCACTTTTCCAATTACAGGAGGGAAAACGGGCTAGATACGGAGTTGGGCTTCCCAAGACTGCTCAGGGTTTCACAGAAGAGTATGACTCTCCTAAGAGGGACAAAAAACCTTTTCCTTCCTCTGGACTGCTGACTAGCCTCCCTACCTAGGTTTCCTAACTCCTAGGTGTACGTTTGCACCCACCCTTTTCCTTCCCAAGGCCCTGTGCCCTTCTTATTGCCCAAAACCAACTTTTACAGCCAGATACTTCCATCTCCCCATCGTGAAATAATAACACGTGCACACGAATGAGCGCAAGGCGCTACACGAGTGCGTTATTATTATTGGTAGTGTGGATTTGTTTATCCAGCTCCACTGCATAACCAGTCCATCAAGTGGGATCTCGGTGGTGCTCTCTTCTCTAGAGGGTTCCCCGTAAGCGCAGGAGGTGCTCACCAGGTGGCTGTGTTTTCAGGAGTCAGAGACCAACGAAGTCCTGAGGGCTTTGAGGAGAATTCGCACAATGGCCACTGTGACGATGCAGGCCAAAAAGAGATTCGGGGGAAAAACCAAGTTCGTCTCCAGTTCCTCTGGTCCAGCTAAGGAAAAAGGAAGAGGGAAGAAACTGATTTGGATCCGTGTCATGTTTACACCCCTTGAGAGGGTTCCTAAGGGAGCCTAGAAGTTGTCAAGGCAGGCTGAGGTCCAGAGGTGAGTTTATGGGGAAACCTCAATATCTAAAATTTCCCCTGGGCTGAGGGAAGCCGAATATCAAATTTAATAATAGTAGACCAAATGCTGTATCGAGAAATGAGGGAGGCTTAATACAAGCTGAAGGTCACCTTGTGACACTGGGGCATTCCTTAGGATGAAATGAATCCCTCCCTCTTGAGATTAACATAAAGAGGAACTTGGCCTTATCTGTAAAAGATTTCACCATTATCCTTTGTTTTGTACTTCCTTGTGATTCTGTATAAATACTCAGAGAAGCATGGCTCGAGGTCTTCAGTTGAGAACTGCTGACCCCCTGTTTTACGCTCTCTATCTCATTCCTGGCTGTTTGTCTCTTTATTATAAAATTATTCTATTCTTTGGGACCCTCGGTCTGCAACACTGGGCATTTCAGAAGTGAGCATCTTCTCATGTTCTAGGACCACTGGAGGACCACGTTTTTTGGCATCTGAGAACCTCAACCCTTCCTTTCTTTCTATTACATAAGTGTTTGCTTCTCTCCAGCTGTCTCTTACTCCTTGCCCTGCAGGGTTGGAACTGACTCAGCTGGACCTTCATTGGATTTCTAAGGGTGTAAATCGTATGGCAGGAGACTGGTAGAAGGTAGATTTGAACCATCAAAGATGTGCTGCTTTTGGGTCACACTGCAACTACCTATGGAGTAAGCCACCAGATGACAGACACCATTTTGCTTGCTGAAACGTCCTGCAGAAGATTAAGAACTACAGAAAGGATTGAAGCTGTCAATGATTTCATCTTGCTTGGATCAACAACTGACACTTGTGGTACCTGCAGTCAGAAAATCAGAGACATATGGCATTGGCCAAATCTACGTAAGAGACCTCTCCAAAATGCTGAAAAGCAATGATGTCAGTTTGAAGACTAAATAAGGTGTGCCTGATTCAGGCCATGGTCTTCTCAATCACATACTACGTGTCAGAGAGCTGGACAATGACTAAGGATGACAGAAGAAGAACTGTTGCCTTTGAGTTGTGCTAGAGAATAGTATTGAATATCCTATGGACTGCTAAAAGAACAAACAGATACGTCTTGGAAAAGGTGCAGCCAGGGTGCTCCTGGGAGGTAAAGATGGCAAAGCTTTCATACTTTGGATATGTAGCTATGTGAGGTTATTCCTTGGAAAAGGATATCATGCTTGGAAGGATGGAGGGTCAGCAGAGAGGAAAACTCCCAATGAGATGTATTGACACAGTGGCTTCAGAAGTGGGCTCTAATGTGTCAGAGATGATGAGAATGGCACAGGATAGAGCAGGGTTCATGTTTGCTCTTCATGGGGTTGCTATGAGTCATACTCAATAGCACCTAACAAGAATGATTTCAGGAACTCTATAGAGTCCTCGTGATAAGGAATGGTACACATGGTTTTAATCCACCAGCTGCTCCTTGGGAGAAAGATGGGCAGTCTCCTCCCATGTGATTAACTGCCTCTGAAAAACTGCTGGAGGGTCAGCTATGGATTGGTTCCGACTTGATGGTACACAACAACATTATTTAAAAGTGTATGAGAGGCCTCCTTTAGCAAGATGGCGGCGAGCGCACTTCCAGCGTGTGTCGGCAGAATGAGACCGGGCTGCTGCTCCAGCTGTATTGACATGGAGATCGTTCACCAATGAAGACCTTTCCCAAGGATCCCTATCAAGAAGAAAAGTGGCCCCAAGGGTTTGGTCAGCTAACCAAGCAGGGGATGCTTCAACACTGGGAGCTGGGCCAGGCTCTGCGACAACGCTATCAAGGCTTTCTGAACACCACCTATCACCGCCAAGAGGTTTATGTGGGAAGCACAGACTTTGACCGCACCCTAATGAGTGCTGAGGCCAACCTGGCTGGACTCTTCCCTTCTGATGGAATGAAGCGCTTCCTCCCAAACATCTCTTGGCAGCCGATTCCTGTCCACACTGTTCTGGTCACTGGGGACAGGCTGCTGAAGTTCCCCTTGGGCCCATGTCCTCGTTATGAACAGTTGCAGAATGAGACCCGGCAGACACCAGAGTATCAGAACGAGAGTGTCCAGAATTCACAATTTCTGGACATGATTGCCAACGAGACAGGACTTACCAACCTGACA